AAATCAAAAAAGTACTTTGACTTTAAAAATTAGCAGCATTGATAAAACTTGAAATAAAATTGTGGATCAAGTGCAGGAATTCCAAATTTTAAGACCATAAGCTGTTATAGGAATACAAAAATATTAATAAAGTTTCAAAAAAAACTGTAAAATTGATTCGAGAGTATGAGTATGAATTGATTAAAAATAACAACAACAAAAAAATCCTAAATTAGTGTACTAATATATAAACAGTAAAACTAAAATTAATCAAGTAATATGTGCTTTTGAAATGATAGATGGATCAATATCAATAAATGAATCATATATTACTAATGTACTAAATAACTTTTTTCTTTCAGTTTTTCAAAAGGAGAACAATAAAATACCAATTTTTAATGAATTTGTTGGTAAACAAATTGCAAATCCAGAAATGAACATTGGCACTATTATTACAAAGTTAAGAAAATTGAATGTTAATAAGTCTACTGGGGAGAACAATGTTAATAAGTCTACTGGGGAGAACAATGTTAATAAGTCTACTGGGGAGAACAATGTTAATAAGTCTACTGGGGAGAACAATGTTAATAAGTCTACTGGGGAGAACAATGTTAATAAGTCTACTGGGGAGAACAATGTTAATAAGTCTACTGGGGAGAACAATGTTAATAAGTCTACTGGGGAGAACAATGTTAATAAGTCTACTGGGGAGAACAATGTTAATAAGTCTACTGGGGAGAACAATGTTAATAAGTCTACTGGGGAGAACAATGTTAATAAGTCTACTGGGGAGAACAATGTGCTCTTGAGAGTTTTGATAAAATATTCTAATATTATTGCAATTCCATTGAAAATTATATTTAATTGATCGTACTTAAGCTGCATACTTTTAAAAATGTGGTTGTATGCTAAAATTATTCCTTTAATTCAAAAAGGAGACAAATTTAAAGCAATAACCTATCCTCCAGTAAAGCAAAAACCTATCTTCCAGTCTTATTATTGTCTGTTGTTTGCAAAGTATTCAAAAGTATAATAAGAGATGCTTTGATGAAACATCCTATTGAAAATAAATGAACATCATATTCTCAACATGTTTTTATTCAGAAACTGTTGTATAAATTTAGTCTTTAAGTTTAATTACACAGTCTTTAAAAAGTTGTTTTTCTATAGATAGCTTTTTTGGACTTTGCCAAAGCTTTTGATGAAGTAACTCACAAAAGATTGTTAATAAAGTTTAAAGCATATTGTGAAAATGAAGTTTTAATGAGGTGGTTTAAAGCATATCTGAGTAAAAGAACTCAACGAGTTGCTCTTGGTACTTATAAATCGAATGAATTATATTTTTGATTGCAGGAAAAGGAAACAGAATGTTAGATAAAATAAAGAATTGCTTTAAAGGTAAAAATTTAATGAGACTGCTGTAAGTTTATCTCCAATTGGAATTTGCTTCACCATTTTGGAATCCTTATTATCCTTATCTAAAAAGTCATCAATAAAATAGAAAAGGTACATTGGAGAGCAACATCAATAAAATATAACAAGTACATTGGAGAGCAAATTAAATGTTTAAAGGATATGTGTTATGAAGAGCAGTTAAAAGAATTTGATTTACTAGAAAAGCAAAGAGATAATTTCAATAATATAATTTCAATAATTTCAGTGTTAGGAAAATTATTCCAATTATTAAAAATGGTACAGATAATATGCAGGATTTTTTTAATGCACGTCTGTTAACAATTTCTGACAGCCTAGTCAATCTTTTTGAGTACATAACAATGGAACATATAACAAATCATTCAGTCCCGTCATTGCAATTTGGTTTCAGATCTAACAATTCAACTAGTCATGCAATATTTGCTCTTATGGAATTAATCAGACATAATAAATCTTTGAAACTGAATACTTATGTTATTACAATTGATGCCTCAAAAGCATTTGATAAAGTGAACTGAATGGCTTTATTAATGGAGCTAATTGATAAATTAGATGATAAATTGTGGCTTGCGTTGTACGAGTACTATTTGAATTCATTTGCATTTGTAAGTATTGGTAGTAACAAATCTTACATCTTTGTAACGAATGTTGGTGTTAAACAAGGTGGACCACTCTCGTCTCTTCTTTTTTAGATATATTCTGAAGGACTTATTAAACAAGTGGAAAATGCATCACTTGGTGTTTGTATTAACAACTTAAAGATTAGTATTTTAATGTATGCTGATGGTGTTCCGGTAATTGTCTCGAATGTTGAAAAATTAAATCTATTACTTAAAATTTGTGAAGATTATGGTAGAAATTACCAAATTCAATGGAATCCCCAAAAAACACAGTTTATAAAGTTTGGTACAAAAGCAAAAAGAAATAAAAAAGAAAATACCTTTTTGCTTTTACAAAAACATATTGTAATCCGGAAAAACGAAAACATTCTTAAACTATTAATTAAAGCATATAATGATGTTCACTAACTTTTTACCTATAATCAATTATTTATGCAATTTTGATACAACTACTGTAAATTTTTCATCGCCAACGGTGGCGTTACATTCTGAAATAATAATAATAATAATAATTATAATAGAATATTGTAAAATTTATAAAAAAAATCGATGGTCGCAAAAAAAAATGATCCTTTTTTATAAGCAAGAGGGCATTTATTTACCAAAAGGATTATAAATAAATGGAATAGTATAACCAACGAAGGTGTTAATGATAGTTATGTCAATACTTTTAAAAATAAACTCAACAAATATGAGAAAAACAACTAAAATTATGAGAAAAACAAATTTAATTTTACTTTATTATTATTATTAAATTTATACTTTATTATTAGGAATTTTTATTTTGCTGTTAAAGTTACGCAACTACTGTTTTGTGACTCACGTATTATCATATGTACAGTCAACATAATAATGATACAAAAATGCTTAATCATATAATAAAAAATAAAAAATTTTGTCACATACCAATAACATGATTAATTAAATGAAAATTGGTTTTTTGTAATGTTACTATTAACTAAAATTTATAGTGTTTTCTCGATTCTAATTTTTTTCAAAACTATAGAATAAGGGTGAATAGGTAATGTTATTTAATTGCAAAAAAATTTATTTTTATTAATTTATAAAAAAATTACTTGTATTTTATAAATTTTTTTCTTCATACACGATTTTATGCAAAGTTACAAAATAAGTGTCCAAATGTAGGCACTGCTAACTTTTCAATTTTTAGTTTTTGAAATTTGAATTAAAGTAAAATGAATATTTTTACAAAAAGATTTGCAACAAATTTGTCAGCTCTTGTTTTGTTTATTTTTGTACATAATTCTACATAACTATTATCTAAGGATACTAAATAATTGGTAAACTTAATTGATAAAACACGTAACTTAATTGATAAAACACAATGTAAAAGTTAAGGATACTAAATAATTCTAAATAATTGATAAACTTAATTGATAAAACACAATGGTAAAAGGTTTGTATAAATTTTTCAAATATCCAATATAATTCCAAATTAAAGAAAATAAATATAAATCTAACATTATTTAAGCTTATTTATGGAGTTTCTGTTTTGATGTATAACAAACCATAATTGACAAAATATATGGCCTATGTTTGTTTAAAATCATTCACTCAATAAATCCAATTTACTTTAGAACAAAGCTTTCTTTATATTTAGCATTAGCAAGTTGCTTTGTTATTTTGGCTTGCTTATTAGTTTTGAAAAAAGTTGTGTAAATTTTAGTTTATGCAAAATTTAGTTTTTAATGGTAAATTTTTAAATGAATGTCAAAATTTGAGTAATGAAAAGTGACAGCTTTTTTTGCAATCACTGATTTCTAATTACTAGCTAACAAAACTTTTATACACACAAGCAACAAAACAAAAAAAACTAAAAGCCAAAAGAAACTCAATTTGTAATAAAGTCACTAATGAATTTATCAACAACAAAAGCAATATTTTTGTACGATAAATAAATTACAATATACAATAAAAGTATTATGTCTAACTAAACAAGACAAAAGACAAATCTAATCTTAAGTTGTTCAGCCTAGATACTCAAAACTGTGTGATTAAAAAAAAGATTATTTCAAAAATGATTTTACTAACAATCGAATCAGGAATTTAAATAATAAATAAATTAAACTGCTTTTTGTCGAAGACAGCTTAACTAAACAACAAATGGAACCAATTCAAATTGATGCTGGTTAAAGAATTTAATCCTAGTTTGATGAAAAAAAATCTTTTTGTCTTCTTACACTCATCGCAATAAAAATGGAATCAGCAAAACAGTAGAGGGGTAGTGATTTTCATAAGAAAAAATATTCTATCATTAGAAATACATTTTGAACAATTTAAGTTTTTAAACAGTTAAATAGTTCTATAATTGAATCTCTATGGTGTATGGTGTTAAATAAAACTGCACTAAAATCACTTTTCTAATCAAAGTTGTTTCTATGTGTTTGTTCAAACTTTGTTTAAAATCTTTTAAGCTAACTTATCAAGTATATCCTATTCAAAAATAGTAAATGGTCAAAATAAAATAATTTACTTGATTAAAATAGTATGCTTGATTGCAAGAAAGGTTTTCACAGAATGTCAATTGCAAAAATTGCACAAAACTGTATAAATTGAATTGCATGATTTGCAAAAAATAAAAATTATTGTTAAGCACACCAAAGTATTGATAAATATTGGTATTCAAAAGTTGATAAAACAAGTATATTCTGTCATACAATTTTAAATTTTTAAAACATAAATAATCATATTAATCAAATTATTTAAATTACACCATTCTTTAAACTTATTTATATTGATATATATAATTATATATATATTGGTATATCTATATAATTGGTATATATAATTGGTATATCTATAATGGTAAATATAATTAGTGTTTAAAAAAAAAATTATTTGTTGTTTTTTTAATTTTATTCAACTATATACATGCCATTATTGTCTATAACCACTTGCTAACGCTTAGGAAAAGAACAAATACTGTTGGTATAGAACTTTTTAAGTTTTAAATTAAAAAAGTTGTCAGACTGCCATTTCGTTGTCAAATCTTTTTTGGGGCATGTTGTTGCTCAGTGATTGAAACAAATAGTCATAACTGCTTAGCTTAGCATCAGTATTTTTTGCTCAATTTTGTAATATGAGTGCGAAAGTTTTAATGTAGACTTTTTTTACATAGCTTTAAGAACTTTCTTGCAATTTCAAACAACTGCTCATTTCTTATTATCTAACCTAATTTAACTTTTAAATGAAAGCTGATTGATACAAACTAATTATTAAAAAAAGTTTACTTCATAACAATGTTGAATATAGATGTCTTTCTGGAAACTAAATTCACATTCAAGTTTAATAATGAAAAGATACAAAATCAAAATGGAAAGTGAAATTTTTGTTTGTATATTTTAAACGTTCAAAAAGTTCAAACAAAAAATTACCTTAAAAAACCAATCTTTGTATACAGACAAAATATGATTCATTGTATCAGCACAATTTAGCGGCATCAATAACCCATTAAAATAAAAATAAAAAATTTGTAATGTTTAAAATGTAAATAAATTTAATAATGCTGTAAATTTAGAACTAAATAATAATTACTATCATTGAACTACCATAATTCAAGTTTAGATAAAAAACACTACGAAATTTACTACGAAAAGTAAATTTTTCTTTTTTATATGATATGCGCGAAATGCTTTTTTTTAGGTTGCTTGAGTGATGCACGCATTTTTTGACATGTTTAAATTTATTCGGTCTTTTAAAATGTTAAATGTTTTCTTTATCTTGAAATTTATTTTTTAATTTACATTTAAAAATGAATTAAAATATAACTATAATATAAACCACTTATAAAATTCTGCAGTTCTGAAAATCTTTTGTATCCAAAAGATAACAATCTTGATGCAACGCTAAAATAAAATTACGAAAACTTCAAACTATTTTTTTATGTATTAAAAATGTTATACACACTTTAGGATATCAAAGCTTTAGAAAAGACTTCTCTGAATGCAGGTGATTCCTTTAGTAACAACTGGATGTGAACAAAGTGATTCCATAAGTAAATAAAAACACAAAATGTAAACTAGGTGTTAAATATATATAATTTTTTGAGTTTTAACAGCATTTTCAATAACATTATTTTTATTTCAATATTAATTTTAAACAGGTGGTGTGTAGTGGAAATGGTAATTGTGATTGTCAGCAGGGCGGATGCAACTGTAATACAGGCTACAGCGGAACACACTGTGAAACTTGTGTAGTAAGTTTTTAACAAATCTTTGTTGTTACTTTTTTACTTTCTAAAATAAACTATAATATATTTTTTTAAGACATGTCCAGAGATATGCAACAATCAAACTCGCCAAAATTGTATCCTATGTAATAACTTCAAGGATGAGATAAGTTACAATAAAATTGATGTTAATTGTACAAACTGCAACCTTTACCCAATGATCAATGTGACTAATGCGCAGCAGTGTTCTATTACTTTAAACTCAACATGTAAAATTTTTTACAGTATCACATATCAAATTTCAAATCAGTTATCCAGTGAAATCACTCAAGTACAAACAGCCTTGTGTAAGTTCAAATTTATTGGTTTATGATTCCTTGCCTATCTGAAAAAAACTTTTTGTGATATATGAAAATAAAAATTGTTATTAAAAGCAATTTAAAAGAATATTTTAAGTTGTTTTTAGTTATGCTTTACTGGAATTCTTTTTTTTTTTTTAGCATGTGCTGCTGCACTTGTAGCAAACAAGGACATTCTTCCTATTGTGTTGGGAATAGTTGGTGGAATATTGTTGTTGGGGATTCTTCTTTTATTAATATGGAAGCTTCTTGTGACACTTCATGTAAGTATATTTGTTTTATATATATACATTGTCCTCCAAACCATAAGCAAGCAAATAAATAATTCTATATTTCAACTTTAATTACTGAATTAAAAAAAATGAAATCTTTAAATGGAATCAAGTTGTATTATATAAAGAAAAGGTTGACTGCCTAAAAATCATTAAACATTTTGTTTTCCGTGTATTTTTTTTATTTGCATTCACTCACAACAAGGCTGCAAGCAATCACTATTAAGTTGGGAGTTACTAGGAATAAAAACAACAGAGTTATAGAGCCAGGAAATGGTTGACAGAAGACTTGAAAAGTTGAAGGTTGTATGAGTCAGGAAAACATGAAGATGGGAGAGAGTTCCAAAGGATTGAAGTGCGGGGAAAAAAACTAGATAAATAAAAGTTTTTAGAGCATGCAGAGACAGATACAGTAAACGAACGAGACTTAGCTGAATGACGAGTAAAACGAGAATGAATTTTAGTTGATGGAACTAGAGATGATAACTCCTTTGAGCAGTGACTATGATAGTATTTGTAGAAAAGAGAAAGAGATGCAACTTTACGACGATGGGAAAGAGGCTCAAGCTTAGCAGATAGTCTAGGTCCAACAACATTTACAATGCGTTTTTGGACCTTGTCAAGAAGAGAAAGTGAATCGGTAGAAGAACCAGCCCAAATATGACAGCAGTATTCCATACAGAGACAAATAAGAGGTTTGTAGAGGTAGAGAATGGAATTAGAAGTAAGGAAATGGCGAGCACGATAAAGAGAAGCAACATTAGCAGAAGCTAATTTAGCAATCGATTGTATATATGGTTTCCATGAAAGGTCAGTAGTAAGCGATAATCAAAGAAGACGTAAAGAGGAGGACTCAGTAAGAGGATTGCCATTCATTAATATAGGAATGTTGACCATATTACGGTAGTTGTTTGCAGTAAACAACTGGGTTTTGTTAGAGCTGAAATTCACAAGCCACTGTGAACCCCAATCTATTACTGAAGTGAGATGGATTCAAGATCAGCTGCTTGTTCTAGGCGATCGAAAAGAGAAGACTTTTTGTCAAGACAAGAGTATAAAGTTGAGTCATCAGCAAAAAGAGCTACTTTAGATGAAAGGTTGTCAGGAAGATTGTTTATGTAGATAAGAAACAAAACAGGACCCAGGATGGAACCTTGGGGAACCCCAGAAGTTACTGGAAATAAAGAAGAGTGTTGGCCTTCAAGGATGACTTTAATAAACCGGTTAGAAAGAAATGATTTGATAATCTCAAAAACTTTACCAAAAACACCATATGAAGCAAGCTTATGGAGAAGACCAGCGTGCCAAACTTTGTTGAAAGCTTTAGATATGTCGAGAGCAATACCCCTAGCCTCACCACCTTCATCTAATGCACAATAAAATCTTTCAGTTACAGCAGTTAGCAAGTCGGCCGTAGAGCGAGAGGATCGAAAACTGTATTGATTGTCTGACAGTAGTTTATTTGACTCAAAATGAGATGTGAGGAATTTGTTCATCAAAGACTCAAAGACCTTGCTAATAACAGAAAGAAAACTGATCGGACAATAATTGGAGGGGTCAGAATTTTCTCCAGAGTTTTTGAATATTGGAACCACAGATGCTATTTTCCAACAAGCAGGAAAACAAGACTCAGTCAAACACTTGTTAAATAGTTTAGAGAGAATTGAAGAAAGTTCTGGAGAACAATTCTGCAAGACTGTGACAGGAATGTTGTCTGGACCACAAGCTGTAGACGAGTTTAATTGAGATATGACTTTAGCAACAGAAGCCGGAGTGATTTGAATGTCTAACAATGGGTCAACCTGTTTGACTAAAATGGAAGGAAGAGAATGTCCATAAGATTCAAGAGTGGAGTTAAAAAAAAGTTCTTTGCAAATAGTTCTGCCTTATCCTTGGGAGAGGTAATAAGATCAGTCCCATGAATGAGAGATGAAATGTTAGATCTACCCTTGTTAATAATGCTGTTGAAGATTTTCCAAAAGTCTTTAGAGCCTAACTTCTGTGATAAGATGCTAGATTTAGTGAACTGAGAATAATGGAGTTTAGCATCAGAAAGCACCTTTTTACATTGATTTCTTGCAATAATAAATAGCCGTTTGTTCTCAAGAGAGTTGGTATTTTAATGTACAAATTTGATCTTCCAAAATATTAGCAACTTTTTTGTAAAATAAATTCTAAAATCAATAACTAATGGCATATCTTTTTTTTAAAAAAACAAAAAATAGCTCCACTAAAATCAGAAAAATAATCCCCAAACCATTACATCTTTTTCACCATCATGCTTGAACGTTCCTTATGTGCAGTAAGGATCCAATTATTTAAGTCTGCATATCTTTAAATTCTCCATAGAATTTTTTAAATTGAACTTTGATTCATTTGACTTGACAATGCTCTTTTTATCATTTTGATAGTCCAGTGTCTATTAGCATTTTCAAATTCAATTTTAGCTTTCTAAATTTTACTTCTAAATTTTTTATACATGTTTTTATATAATATGATTACCAATTTTGAAGCTTTTCTGAAACACTTTAATACTTTATTCAAAAGTTTTTTTATACTTATTATATATATATATATATATATATATATATATATATATATATATATATATATATATATATATATATATATATATATATATATATATATATAGTAGAAAATAAAACTACGTGATTTTCACAACTTTAAGTTTCATGCTGTTGCAATCATCAGGTGGAATACAAATATAGTTTGTTCGTTTAAAAATTATATACAATTGAAACTATACAGAAAAAATCTATACAGAAAAAACTTTTTTTTATTGTTACGGCCACGTGTATCTAATCTTCAGGTTTGTGGTTGCTCAATAGAAATTTATTTTCGTGACGACACTTGGAGATCAACTCTGTTTTTTTATTGAGTAGCTCTTCAGCATTTTTATAAAGCAAAATAATTAGTTTTTCATATAAACATAGTAAACATTTTTTTTGTTTCATTGTTGTAGGCGGGGGCTTTTTTTAGGATAGACCAAGTTAATTCTGGTGTTTCTTTCAGTTTTTTTCTAGTTTCTCATATATGTTTTGAGAGAGTGGTTGCATTTGAAAGTTTCTTATTTGAAAATGATTGCTTGTGGTTTGCATACCTCTTTTTCCACACTCCTTCTGATAAACCAATGCATGTTTTGCTGGGAGTGTTTGGGGAAGATGTTATACATTTGTATAACATTAAATCGTTGATGAAATCAAAAACTTAAAAGTAAAAAAACAGCTGTGGTTATTCAGATATTCCAAAGAAAATTATTAAAAAATCATATGATTCAATCACCGAATCATTAATGACTATAAATGTCTAGAAGCAGGCAGTATTCCAAATGAATTTAAAATTGGTAGTATTATGCCACTTTTTAAACAAAAAGGTAAAATTCGTGATATCAATAGTTATCGAAGTATTACTATAGTATCTCTACTAACAAAAGAACAAATTGCTAAAAGGGTAACTGCATACTTTAAACAAAATGATTTATTCAATGATGACCAGCATGGTTTCAGATGCAATCATTCATGTGAAACTGTGTTACATGTTCTTATCTCTAAAGTAAAGCTAAGAAACTCTAAAAAACTCTTTACATTATTAATATTTATTGATTTCAGAAAAGCTTTTGACTTTCACTTTTTTGATTTCAGAAAAGATTTTTAAGCTAAAACATTATGGTTTTTCAACTGATGCTTTGAACTTAATAAGTAACTATTTTCATAATAGAAAAATTTTTACAAAAGTTAAATATGCATATTTTAACAAAGAACAAGTTAAAAAAGGTATACAACAGGGTTTCATTTTAGGATCTCTTTTTTTTTTGATTTTCATCAATGATCTACCTGAATATTTGACATTATTTGAATCAACATTATTTGCTGATGACACAGCACAAGTGATACCAATATAAACCATCTAATAACAAAAACTCAGTTAGAATTTAATAATTTTATTGAGTGGTGCTATGCTAGTAAACTCGACATCAATTGGGATAAAACTAAACCAATGATTTTAACAAATACATCTAAAATAATATTTCCAACATCAATCATATTAAGTGATAAGTTCAAAATTGAAATAGTTAATAAATGTTCTTTGCTTGGTGTCATTATAAACAATAAATTACATTTTACCGAACACTTAAAAGAGATAAAAGCAAAAGCATACAAAAAATTATTTTCAATAACTAGACCAAATATATTTGTTCTAGCTTTCAAAGTTCGTTTACAATTCTTTCAAACATTCATTCTACCTAACTTTGATTACTGTTCAAATCTTATAATTTTCTACATGAAAAAAAAAAATACAAAGCCTTAGCAATGCATTATGATTTTATGCATAGGATTTTATTTTTACTACTCAAAATTAATATTCAAAACAAAAATATATTTCAAATCAATCAACAACTTAAAGCATACAACCTAGAAAGTTTTCATCATCGATTTTTTTTTTTTGCAGAGCACTAAAACTATTCAATAAAATAATTTATTACAAGAAACCAATGAAATTATTCAAACAATTTGATTTTATTTACCTTGATAAGATCTAATACAACATTCAAAATAAAAACTTTTTAAACTTTAAAATTATTATTTCGAGTGTTTTATTTATACAAACACAATGAACAGTCATTTAAGTCTTTTTTCACCAATCAATAAGCATTGCAATGACAATATCAAATTAGCACCAAAAGAATGTAGTGATCTATATTTACTGAACAACATCAACTCAATTATAGCACATACAACTATCAACAACATTAGGCTTGACGTCAATATAAATAAAATAAATAACTTAATTGACTTTTATGTAAGCAAAAAATTGAAAAAAAAAAGAAAGACTAGACATCATTTAAATTCTTTAACATCTTTTATTTTGTATTTACAATAATTTATTATACTACTTGTATCTTATATTAAAAATACTTCTATTCACCAGTAATGGTAAAAGACATAGTAATGGTAAAAGAAAGAATAGAAGTTAAGAAAATATATGTGGCGCGTTTGCTCTATGTTGGGACTTAATAACAAAATGATCTGATAGCTGGAATTTAAGTGCAATTCTAAAATTTCTGTAATTCTGCAATTCTAAAATTTTATGCAAGTGCAATTCTGAAATTTATAAGTTTGTGTCTAAAAAACTGAAAATATTTCTATTTTGTTGTTGTTGGTTTGATTAACATTTTCATAATTTTTATTATTTTCAAACTTAAACAGGATAAAAAAGAGTTTGAAAAGTATACAACTGGTCAAATAAAAAGTAATTGGGAAGAGGTATGTATTTGTTAGTTTGATTCAATTTTTTTGTAAGTATTTCAAAATTTTATTTTAATTTGATATTAAATTTTTTTTTTTTTTAGTTTTATTTAAGTATTAAATTTTATAGTTAAACAAAACAACAGTGTTTTTAAAATTAAGGTTTTTTTTTTTTTTTTTGTAGGCTGAAAATCCAATTTATCAACAAGCAAAACAAGAGTTTCAAAATCCGGTTTTTGCTGGCAATTAATATAAATTTTATTTTATTAGTTTATGTTATTTATTTAACTTTGTTACTATGGACCTTTTTATAATTTTTAAGCTGTCTTGTTCATTGAAAAAACAAGTTTTACTATATTTTATCTGAATATGCTTTTGTGCTTCATTATTTATATTATATATATATATATATATATATATATATATATATATATATATATATATATATATATATATATATATATTTATTTTTAAAACTTTTTTTTTCTTTTTTTTTTTTTTCTTTTTTTTTTTTTTTTTGTGAGTGTTTTTGAAAACTTTTCATATTTGATTTTTTAATATATATTTAGACTTTTTTTAGTATTTCTTTTAAAAGATATTGTTTTAAGAAATGTAAAGAATTAGCTGAAAAAAAAAACAATTTTTTTTTTGTTGCTAAAATTTAACACATTGTACAAGTTATTATACTTTAACTTTAAAGAAAAAGTAACTTTTATAGTTTTTAGGAAAAATATTTTTACTCACCTGGAAACTATAACTACCCTCTCTTTAGTAAATAAACAGTTGATTTTAAACATCGCATTTAACATGTTAAATAGTTTTAAAACATTAAATAAAAAATAAGCGTGACCTAATTAAAATTAACAAACAGCTTATTTCAAAACTTTATTATTAAACGTTTTTCTAAGAATTATTTTTTCTATAAAATAATCATAACATTAGTAACCGAGTAAGATAGGTGGTAAAGTTTTAAAATTTTCAAAAAAAATTTAATACATTTATGGGATTTGAAATTTAAATATATTTTTACTAACTTTTATTGTATGTGAAAAGGTATTTAATTAAGTAAAGTTAACCATTATAGAGTAATCAGGTTTTTAAATTTGTAAATTTTAACATAACTTTTTTAAAAAAGAAGTTTAAGCACAAATTAATATTGTGAGCACAGATGCTGAAGTTTTAATTCAAAGAATTGGATACACTTTCGGACTAAATGCAGAGATATGTTTTCACCACGAAAAAGCCTAGATTTCTAGATATGAAGCGTTTCGAAAATACTGCTGTGATCCGTTTAAAGTCCACAAGAAAAAAATTATTAAGGGATTGTGTAAAGTTGATAATTTAACAGCAAGTCAACTTAAGATTAAACCTGGTCAAAAACTTGGCACTAACTGTTTGAATGAATTCAAACTTGAACAAATTACAGGAAAATTTAGTCAATAAGATGAAGACAAAGATGTTGATGATGAGGAGTTTAGTTCTTCAGACCTAATTAAGACAGTTTTAAATGAGTGCTTCTTTACTGGAAATATCTCCTCTAAAAAGTGTAAGTAAACGTGACAAATTAGAATATGGAAAGCAAAAAGTTAAAATACTGGAAACAAGTATGACAAATCTAGGAACATCAGCACGAGATATAGACCCAAATGAAATAATATCTGAGAAAAAGCAAAAGTGCATTAACTGTAATGATTTAGACAAACTTTTAGATGCAACAAAGGAAAAAGTAAAAATCAGTTCGAATGAAGAAAAAGTTCAATTACTAACATTAACTCCTGATAGTTGGTCAATTAAAAAAACTTGCAATGCATTTTCAGTTTCAGACCATCTTGTTGAGAAAGCCAGAAAGCTAAAAAATGAAAAGAGAATACTTGCTAAACCTGAGGCTAAAAAAGGACATCCTTTGGAGGATATTGTTAAGCAGAGAGTCATTAAAATATATGAATCTGACGAATACACTAGACAATGTCCAGGAAAAAAAGACTTTGTTTCTGTGCGTATAAATAATGTTAAAGTTCATAAACAAAAACGCTTAATATTAGTTTGTTTAAAAGAACTTAATCTGGAATTTAAGAAGTTATACCCTGAACACAAAGTTGGATTCAGCAAGTTCTGTGAACTAAGGCCTAAGTGGTGCCTTACTGTTGATAGTAGTGGAAGCCACTCAGTTTATGTATGTTCTTACCATCAAAATGCTAAGTTGATATGTCCTGCTCTTCCTAACAGCAATTTAATATATTACAAAGATTTAATGAAAGTATGTGTTTGTAATATAGATAGTTGAAACTGCATGTTTCATCTATGTTCCAACTGCCCTGGTAAAATAAATTTGAAGACTTACTTGGAAAATGTGTTTGAACAGAATGATCTTCATTTTGATTATCAGATCACATATAAACAATGGGTGTCAACTGACCGAACTGCACTTATTACAGTCCAAACAAGCATTAGTGAATTTATTGAAACTTTACGTGAAACTTTGTATGACCTTTGTCATCACCACTTTATCAAAGAAGCACAGTCTTCCTACTAATCAGAGGCAAAACAAACATTAGACCAATACACCTGCATTATTCTGATAGATTTTGCAGAAAACTATTGTTTTCTTGTACAAGATGCTATACAAGGGTTTTACTGGCAAGTTGATCAAGCTACCTTACACCCGTTTATTATTTATTACAAAGATGAAAAAGATCACTTTAAATGTGACTGCTATTGTTTAATTTCTGACCATCTTTGTCATGACCAATCAGCAGTCCATTGTCTTCTCACAAAGTTGCTTCCTATGGTCAAAATCAAACTACCTACAGTGAATAAAGTTAAATACTTCAGTGATGGTGCTGCGTCACAGTATAAAAACAAAAATCGTCTAATAAACTTAATTGTAGATCACCAAATAAATGCTGAGCATCACTTCTTTGCTACGTCACATGGCAAAAGTCCATGTGATGGGATAGGAGGTACTATAAAAAGAGAAGCAGCAAAAGCTAGTCTACGAGCAGCAGTTACAAATCAGATTCTCACACCACAAGATCTGTTTACATGGGCTCAAAAAAATATCAAAGGTGTTAACATACTTTATCTTTCAAGTGACGATATCAATAACCATGAAACAACTTTTAACCTTCAGAAACGATATGAAGGGATGCGCACAGTTCCGGTAACAAGAAGCTATTACTGTTTTGTACCAGATAGAGAGAAATTGTTTTTACGAAGAATCTGTAGTGATACTGTCTATGATACTCATGTGTTAAATGATGTTAATTTGATTAAAAAAAATCCTTCAAATTTTCAACCCGGTAAATATATTGCGTGCTTTTACGATGAAGAATGGTACGTAGGGCTTGTGGTTGATATTTGTAATAAAAACCAAGACGTTAATGTGAAGTTTATGCAATGAAACAAATAAATTTAAAATGGACAAACGATGCACGATCAAGTCAGTGTTGGGTTCCATTTGACAAGATAATATGTCAAATAAGTGTTCCATTGATTAAAAGTATAAGTGCTCGTGACTATATTCTTGCTAGTAATGACTATGACAGTATTATGAGTTATATAAATCAGAGATAAGCTAATTAGTTTCATGTATCCATACTTTTTCTTTTAACTGACTATCTTACTCTTTGAATGCACTTTTTTACAGTATAGTTTGTATAAAATTTAAGGTAAAAATTTTGTATGTGGTAAGTGATATTTTTTTGTTCTCCTTTTAAAAATATCATCACTCTCAAAAGGCTACAATCATGTCATAAGATAGAGTATAGGTCTTTAAATATTTTTTGGTGATTGTCTATATATAGAACCTCAACATTAAAAAGTTTCATAATTTATTTCAACTGTTTACGCTACTTTCTATACCAGCAAAGTTGATGTAATTTATCATAATTTAAAAAAAAGGGATTTTTTAATAGGCTGCTGCATGTGCTAAATTAATTTTTAATGCATAATTTTGATTATTCTAACAAGTGGTGACCTTAAGTACAAAAAGGTAACAAAAAAATCCACTTTCTGTAAGTAAGTATGAACCTGTAACACGTTAAAGTTTGATAAAATTGTAATATTTAGCAACTTTAAGGTGCAATAACTCAAAAATTGTAAAAAAATCAGTCAAAAACAACTGCAATAATGGATTATTTAGGTGAAAAACTATTGCCCTACAAAATTTCAGGTGATCACCATTTTTATTTAAAAAGTTATGGTTTGTCAAAAATCGAAAAAAACTGCTGTAAGCTCTTGATACACAAATTTTTCGGATTTTGGTGATTGTTAATTCAATCATAACTTTTGAACAAATTGGTCAACAAGCTGAAATTTTCTGAATTGTATTTTTTTTCATAAAATCTGTGTGTGGTTAAAATTTAAAGCAATTCTGAGGTGGTACCCTGGAAGCCTTTAGGTGATTTGATATGGAATAACCCTTTTATGATCTAAATGAAATTAAAAACATTAGGTAATTAAAAATATTAGGTAACTTTAATAAAATTAATAATAACATATAACTAAATAAATTTTAAACAATATCTTAATAATAAATAAGCTGATAATAATACAGTGCACTTACGGTTCCAATCATATGTTGAATTAAATAATAATTAAAAAGCTACATAAAATCAAAATTGCTTATGTTGTATTTTAATAATAAACTCTTTTTATGTTACTTTTACCTGCAGTACCAGAAATTAGGTAGATTGCTAATGTTTGTTTGTAATATATATATATATATATATATATATATATATATATATATATATATATATATATATATATATATATATATATATATATATATATATATATATATATATATATATATATATATATATTAAATTATGAATAACATATTTGTATTATTATATTTTAATACAAAGCTCTCTTATATTAACAAGTGTAACTATTTAAAATATATTAATATAATATAATATAAGCTTATGCTGCTATGCTGTAGCAGAAATAAAAAACATTAATTCCCAAAATATTTTCTATAAAATTTCACATGTTCATCTGCCTAAAATGTTTTGTTTGATTTCTTGCTCTTAATGCTATATTCCAATTATAGCATTTGTGATCTCCCAGAAGCTTGATTTTCATCAATTGTCGTTCACAAACAAGAGTTGATAATTTTTTAAATAGTTTCAATACGAGATTTGCACAATTCTATTACATAAGTTATGGAAAGACTAGTTGCATATGAAACTTTTACTCTGTATACTTTAGTAAAAAATTTATAATAATTATGTCACAAAAGCATTACAAAAATAATGATCAACCTGCAAATATAATATAGAACTACTTTAGAACTGTTTCCTTTATTAGTTTATGTGTTGAAGATGTTCCGGACTTAACGCCATTCTTTTCGAAAAGTTATTTATATTTTGTA